TCTGTTTATCTAATCCTCCCTGTGAAATAATAATTAATTCATATTCTCAGTTCTTATTCATCAAAGACCTCCTGAGTACCAGGGAGGAGGAACCAGAGCCACCAAAGTGGGTTGTGAAAATCCAAGCTCGGGGGAGCCTTGACATTTAAGGAGGGTTGTCTGAAAACGGGTGCGCCATTTCCAAAAGGTTTCATGAAATGCTGAGGCTGACCCCATGAGACCCCCTTGCCCCCCACCCCATTACTGTCTTCTAGGGCTTCAGCTTGGGTGAGACGGATCAATGGCTTGAGAAAGGGTCCCCACACATTTACTAGAGGCCCAACTTTGTGTTAAATAATGGGGGGGTAATGTCAGGTGGGGGGTGAGGGGGTGGCTGAGGGGAATCACAGCCTAATAAATGACCCATTAATGGGGGTTTGCTGTCACAGCAGGGAGAACGGATTCTGATCTCATTTTGCCTCCCTGTTCTGACCCTGTCAGCAAGAAATCCACTTTTCCAACAACCTCTGGGAGCCACTGCCACAGGTCTCAGAATCTCCAGCTGGATCCATGTCCTCCTGTATGGACAGGGACCCTGAGGCTCAGAGAGCGCAGAGCCTGGTGCAGGGTCACAGGCAAGGTGGTCATTCAGATTTTAGCTAGAAGGTCAGCCGTTCCAAGAAGGCCCTCTTCTGGAGGCCCACCCTGCCTGCCACTGATGCACTCTCCTCATTATCTGAGTTCCTCAAGTCTGTTTTGCAATCGGCTCTTTGGGTTCTTCTCCGCCTCTAGAAGGCATGTGCAGGAGATCAGGGATATGGTCTGAGCCGCTCACACAATTCAGTGTGCGCCACGTGCCTCGGCTGGAGTCTGGCTTATAGTAGCTGCTCATTAAATATTTGCTGAGTGAATGAATTAGTAGCCAAGATGGGACTGGAACTTATATGGTCTGGTGCTTGGGCCAGCAGGCTTTCCTGCATTTGCTGTCCCCGGAGCCCCAGCTGTCCTCTGTGTTTGGAGAGCGCCTGGGAGTTTGAAGTGGCACCAAATGGCCAGGGGAGAAGGAAGGGGCTGCTGAGGGGCTGGGGGTGGGGTCTGCTTTAATTGTCAGAGGCAGCTGGCCATTTGGTTTTGCTCAGATAAAGCTAAGACAGGGCTTGTGAGTGAGTGTGTGTGTGTGTGTGTGTGAGTGTGTGAGTGTGCACAGGGCTGGGATGGGGAAGGGGTTGTTGTGTGGCTGAAGAAAGGGGAGAGGAATCCCTGAGTGGGCTGGGCAGCCCAGTTTCATCCCCATCCCCGTCCTCCCCGCCCTTCCCCTCAGATAAAACCACCAGCTGTTCAGGACACAGCTGTGCTTTCTCTGGGGAAGGGGAGAAAAGGGCCCTGTGGCCCAGGGTGAGTTCAAAGCAGACCTGTGAAGTGAGGGGGCTGGAGGGGGTGCTGGAGGAGGAGGTGAGAAGTCAGCAAGGGGCAGAGAAAGACAGCTTGTGCTTTGATGTCCCCCACCCAGAGCCTGGGACAAGGTCCGGGCAGGTCTCTGCAGACCCCGGGCTTTGGGCTTTCTCCCTCTCCCCAAGCCCTTAGAGAGATCCAATTAACCACTCTTTCCTGTCCCTCCAAGGAGGAGGCCCATCCAGTCCCTGAGCCCAGCACACAGCAGCTCGCGGAAGCACACTTGCACCCCACAGCACACGCAAGCTTGCCTGTGAGCTCACACAGCCACACACGCAGCCCCGGGCACGGGGCCGAGGCAGTCTCGCTTTCTAGGCCAGGAGCCAGCCCAGGGCTGGGGTGGGTGACGGCGACTGATTCACTGGCTGCAGAGGTCCCCAGCAGTCCGGGCTGTCCCCAGAGGGACCCGCAGCTGGTCTGGGGCGCTGATCTGACAGGAGCTATTCATGCCAGACTCCTCACAATACCCTGAAGAAATGACTGGGGAGAGTGCAAAGTCCCCGGGGCAACTGGGTCGGCCTCTCCAGGGCAGGCCAGCCTGGGGGACACTGGCCAACAGCCCTGCCCCAGCTGCCGGCCTGCCAGATGGCTCAGGGCCGATTATCCCGGATCAATGCAGCAAAGAGGTGCCCTTCTGAGCGCGGAAGGAGTGGCCCTGGAGTGAAGACCGGGCCTTTCCCCGTCTTCTCCTGAGTGTGTTTCCTACAGTTTTAATTCAACAGGCCTTTGCCAGGCTCCGGCTTGAGTGGGGGAGGGGTGGTGCCCAAATGAACACAGATGTCTGCCCAGGTGTGCTCTGTCTGGTGAGGAATTCCTTCAGAGCCCTGGAGCCATGTAAGATCAGGCTTCAGCTATGGCTCCTCTTGACTAAACTCATCTTCTGTGTGGGATGGACAGGGGTCTTGGGTGCCAGGCCAGGAGGTGAGGCTGGCCGATTCTGTGATTTCTGGCTACCACTGGGCAGGAGGTCAGATCTTATCTGCACTTCACCCAGTCCAGCCCTAACCAGTAGCCCTCTCCCAGGCTTGGTCCCCAGTTCCCTTCTATTTCAACAAGTCTGGCTCCTCTGGTGAGATGAACCACTTCTTACCCCCTCAGAGACAGAGAGCCTAGCGGCCGGAGGAATAAAGAGATGGGCCCATAAAGAGACTCTCTGCATGGCTCAGGATCCAAGTGGGAATGGCTATGGGCGGGGGGGGAGACCTCATTTTGGGAATGCTCCAAGCTCACTGGCTTCCCATCTATGTTTTTAGCTGCAAAAGGCCCTGTTTCCTCCATCTTTCTGGGAGAATGAGAGATCTGGATTACCCGGGTGTCTTGCACTTGGCCTTTATCCTGCAATGTTTCAAGCGAGCGATTTAATTCATAATAGCTACCATCAATTATGACCTGACCTAGGCGAACTGGTTCCTGCACACCTCTCAGGTCCCTTTTGATAGGTCAAGGTTGAGGTAATCCGACAAGGGTAATCACTTTCACCCAAGTTTACGGACAGATTAATGAAAGGCATTCTGCCACCTGCGTAGACTTCTATTAGACAAACATGCCGGAGCAAGCACGCCCCAGACAATTCCTTCCCTGTCTACTGGGTCCTCTTTGGGAATGGCTGGCCACAGGGCAGTTTCTGGATCGAGTTATGGTGCCAACCCTAAGGGTACAGACATTCCTAGCCAGAGTTCTCGCAACCTGTTCAATCAGGGGCAGGGGTGGGGTGGGGTGGGGAGGATCTATAAAATATTTTAGTCCATCTTTTATAAAAATTTCGCTCAAGAGAGCTTATTTTAGAATCAATTATAGGTATCTCAGTGCTATCCTACATTTCTGTAATGCTCAGAAGGTGAAAGACCCCCAATCTAAAAAGGGTTGGGGGAGAGGAGAAGTTTGAGGGTGAGCCCATGTGCTCAAACTCTGGCTCTCACGGTGACTGGCTGAGTGACCTTGGCCGAGTTATTTCACTTCCCCGTGTCTTCATTTCCTTATCCGTAAGTGGAGATTAGTAAGAGTGCAAGTCGTTGTGCCAACTGAAAGGGATAATAAGCAAATATAAAATGTAGAACACTCTTAACCAGGTCCTTGTGGGTATTTGAGTTTGGGGCCCTCGCTTGAAAACCCCTGCAGAAGGTGTTCTGACCAACCCTCCTTGGAGACCAGGAATTCTGGTTTTAGAAGCCCTTTGCTTTGGATGGGGCCATGATTTATCTGCCGATTTTGTCCCGTCCTATCCCTGCTCAACTTTAGACGGACTTCTCCACTCTTGGGGGTTATATTTAAAAATCATGTCTTGTGCACCCTTCCCTCTTTCCTGCCCAGAGCTCCTGGAAAGATGAGCAGACAGGGCAAAGTGAGTGTGTGTGGGACTGTACCCACAGCAGCCCCTCAGTGACCACCCCTTTCTCTGCCCCCTTCCCTGGCTGCGTGGTCTCCTAGAGACGTGGTCCCCAAAGACTGAAATGCACCTAGGTCCTTAGCGCATATGGCCCCTTCTTTTCACTCACCCCCCAGTTCACCCATCTGTTTTACTCACTCAATCATTTAGTGATCACCTATCATCCAGCAAGCCCTGTTAGGTGCTTGGAGAAGAAGAAAAACAAACAAGAGTATTGTAACGAGATCCATCCTGTAACTTTAAGCAGGACATTTACCTCCTTAGGCCTCAGTTTCCCCATAGACTTAATGACTTTTGTCTGGGGTTTCTTTCTCCTGGGACTCTGTCCTCAACCCTCTAAAACTTCCTAGGCTGTCTGCCCACTGCAGTCTGCCAATAGCTTATGAATTGTAGAGAAATCCCCTTAACTGTGTCTGTAAACCATAAATGTTCCCAAAGGAGGGTCAAAGTGGAGGAGTAAAGGAGGATGACTATGAGGAGAAGAGTGAAGTCTGGTCTGGGCGGGGGAGTGGGAGGGCAAGAGGGGGGTGGGGGCCAGAGCTGAGGGGCCAGACCAGCGGGCCAGGAGGGCTTGCCAGGTGCTCGGAGCATCCTGCGAAATCTCACACCCTCCTTGCCCCCCCACCCGTCCTGGCTCCAGCTCAGGCTGGATTCCAATCTGCATAATTTGCCCCATTTAGAGTGGATGGGAGGGGGTGAGAGTGAGAGGGTGGGGAGGACTGGGGAGGGGGTGCTCCAGAGGCCAGAGGAAACCAGGGATAGAGGCTGGGGAATGGGTGGGTGGTAGCCAGAGGGTGAAGGCGGGGCCAGGAGGAGAGCAGGCTGCTGCAAACACCAGATAATCTTCTGCCCAGCACGGCAGGGCTCGGTTTGGTCCACTTGCCCAGGGAGAAGAAGGAGGAGAAAAAAAAAAAAGTGGGCTGTAACTTAAAGATCTTAAGACTTTCAAGTGAGGGGTTGGTCTGGAGGTGGGAGGAGGGAGTGACCAGACAAGGAGGAGACAGAGACTCAGGAGGGTGCGAGGAAGTGTCCTAGCTGAGGCCAGGACAAGGCAGGAGAGGGTGGAGGGAAGTCTGCAGGAGCAGGCATCCTCCAGAATCCGGAGGCAGCTCCTGCCGCTCTTCGGGAAGGGCTCTGGACACCCTCAGCCCTTCTCACCTGCCCTCCGAGACTCAGGCCAGCCGCTTGGGGCACTTGCTGAGTTGGTGCCACAGCCACGGAGCTGGGACCCCGGGGACCCCCTGCCCGTCTTCTCTCCAATGCCCGGCATGGAGGAGGCTGGTGATTTCGACAACTACTACGGGGCAGACAACCAGTCTGAGTGCGAGTACTCGGACTGGAAGTCCTCGGGGGCCCTCATCCCCGCCATCTACTTGCTGGTCTTCCTCCTGGGCACCACGGGCAACGGCCTGGTGCTCTGGACCGTGTTCCGCAGCAGCCGCGAGAAGAGACGCTCGGCCGACATCTTCATCGCCAGCCTGGCCGTGGCGGACCTGACTTTCGTGGTGACCCTGCCGCTGTGGGCCACGTACACGTACCGGGACTACGACTGGCCCTTCGGCACCTTCGCGTGCAAGCTCAGCAGCTACGTGATCTTCGTCAACATGTACGCCAGCGTCTTCTGCCTCACCGGGCTCAGCTTCGACCGCTACCTGGCCATCGTGAGGCCCGTGGCCAACGCTCAGCTGAGGCTGCGGGTCAGCGGGGCCGCGGCCACGGCGGGCCTGTGGGTGCTGGCCGCGCTCCTGGCCGTGCCGGTCATGGTGTTCCGCTCCACCGGGGACCTGGAGAATACCACGAGGGTGCAGTGCTACATGGACTACTCCATGGTGGCCGCCTCCAGCTCGGAGTGGGCCTGGGAGGTGGGCCTGGGGGTCTCGTCCACCGCCGTGGGCTTCGTGGTGCCCTTCACCGTCATGCTGACCTGCTACTTCTTCATCGCGCAAACCATCGCCGGCCACTTCCGCAAGGAGCGCATCGAGGGCCTGCGGAAGCGGCGCCGGCTGCTGAGCATCATCGTGGTGCTGGTGGTGACCTTCGCGCTCTGCTGGATGCCCTACCACCTGGTGAAGACGCTCTACATGCTGGGCAGCCTGCTGCACTGGCCCTGCGACTTCGACATCTTCCTCATGAACGTCTTCCCCTACTGCACCTGCATCAGCTACGTCAACAGCTGCCTCAACCCCTTCCTCTACGCCTTCTTCGACCCGCGCTTCCGCCAGGCCTGCACCTCCATGCTGTGCTGTGGCCGGAGCAGGTGCCGCGGTGCCTCGCACAGCAGCAGCGGCGAGAAGTCGGCCAGCTACTCTTCCGGCCACAGCCAGGGGCCTGGCCCCAACTCCGGGAATGGTGGAGAGCAGATGAACGAGAAGTCCATCCCCTACAGCCAAGAGACACTCGTGGTTGACTAGGGCTGTGGGGATCAGAGAGGAGCCCGGTGCCCTCCGCCCCACCCTGGCCTTTGCCCTTGCTCTCTGAAAGTCAGGTAGCATGATAGCACCTTCTCCCTTGCATTTGACCCTTTTCCTCGCTCCCTGCCTCCCTGCCCCCCGGTCCTCCTTCCTCCTTGAGGTTTGTGGTTCAGTGGAAAGAGACTGAGTCCTGCGGACTCGCGCTGGCGCTGGGCCACTCGGTATCTGTGAGAGGGACCTTGCTCGAGTCTCTTAACCCCCTTGAGCCTCAGTTTCCCCATTTGTATAAAACAGGGGAAGTCAGCCTGGCTCAACTGAAATGTGTTGCCCCCACTCTTTTTCTTGGATCTCCAGCTCTTTCTTTTCCCTCCTTTCTTCTGATGTTCTCTCCCCTCTACTTGCCCCTGCTTTCCCCTCTAGCTGCACTTTCTGCTCCGAATCCTTACCTGCTGGCTCCAACCCCCTCTCCTGGAGCATACCCCCTCCCTCAATCCCTTCTTCCTCCCCTGTTCACTTCCTGGTTGTGCAGGGCTCCTAAGGGTTAAGAATCCTGAAGCTTGCACACATGGCCCTGGCCCCAGCTCTGTTGGGCTCCCTGGAGTGCAGCGGGGACCTCGGCTGGCAGCTGGCGAGGGAGGGCCGGTGTCAGCCAAGTTAGCTCCAGGCTCTGCAGCTGGGAGCTGCGGAACTTTCCTGCAAGCTGGATCAGTTCACTTTCAGGCACTAAGGATTCCAGAAGGGGTCTCCCCTCTTGCAGCCCCTCCCAGATGCCAACGAGATGAGCTTTTTGCAGATTTCCTCAGACCCTCTCTTCAGCCTCTATTCCCTGTGTCCATCGGAAGGCTATGGGGTTGGTGCAGGGACGGCTGGCTCCTTGGTGTCATATAGGAGTGGGGAGTTGGGAAGAGAACGTCGAGGAAGAAGGGAGTCTGTATTTAGTCTACATGCTGCTTAGCTTACCTCTCCGATTCCTCACCCCTCTAGCCCCTACAGGCCTCCACACCACGCCTGGCGTCCCCAGCCAGGACACTTTTCTTGAGCACTGGTGCATCTGGGTGCCAAGAATTATGTGTGTGTGCATGCATGTGTGTGTGCGTGTGTGTGTGTGTGTGTGTGTGTGTACATGGAAGAGCGTCACATGTCACTTGGGTGAACTACCCCCCTACTGTCTACCACTTCTCCACTCTTCACACAATATCCTTGGGGGGAGGGAGACATATTGAGGCAATAGAGAATAAAATGAGTCCACCCCGCCCCCACTGGATTTGGGGGCCCTGACGGCAGGTCCGTGCTTTAAGAGAGAAGTCTATGCTAGTGCTGGGGCCAGCCCCTCTGGGGAGATCTGTCCCCAAGGCCTGGGGACACTCAGTGTGCTGGGTCCCATCCTTCCTAGTTCCGTGAGGGAAGCAGGAGGTGGGTAAGAGCTTCCCTTGGCCCCTTCTCCACGCCTCCCCACCCTGCTCTGATTTTATGAGTGTGTTCCTTGCCATTCTCACTTTTCCAGGGTCTGTGGCGTTCTTGCCTGGGGTGAAAAGCGCTGGGTGGGTTTTTTCTCACCTCACCCCAGGATCACCGTTGGCCTCTCCTGCTGGGCTGGGGGGCTGGGCACGGGGACCCGAGCAGCTGCAGCAGGGCTGAGGGCCTGACGTCATGCCACCAGCGAGGCCTCAAGGACCAAACTGACGGCCGGCCTTTGTGAGCTGGGGCAGGGTGTGTATATTCCAGGTTTTGTTCTTGGAGGACTCCAGACAGGACGTGAATGGCAAGATTTGCGCGATGGAGGCAGGAAGAGCCCGGCTTGGTGTCAATGGAGAGCTTGACCACCCCTGGGATGGCGCCAGCTCTGGGAGCAGAGGAAGGAGGAGAAAGGAAGAGGCCCCTTTCAGCTTAGTCTCCCCTTCACAGGCCAGAATCTTCCATAGACTCCCTTTCTTAGCCCAGGGCTCTCCTCAAAGTATGCGGTTAAGGCTGGAGGAAACATCTAGAAGATCTAGAAGGGAAGAGGGTGCCCTTCTGAGGCCCTCACAGTGACCCCAGAGACCTCTTGCCTGGAACTCATTGGTTGCCCTGGACAGAGTGGGGAGGCTCCCTCACCCCTGACCAGCCCTTTCTTTGGAATGTCTCTGCTATTTTTTTTTCTGACCCTCTAAGTCACTGCGGTTCATTCAATAAATCTGTTTTGTGTAATTGTTGTGTCCAAAGCCTCTGCTCACACAGACGTCTTGGGACGAGTTAAGGTCCCCCGTTTGCAAATGTTCCAGTGGGAGGTGGTGTGGGCTGAGGGAGCACAGGAGGAAAGTAGGAGCTAAGGGAAGTCAGGTGGGAAACTGGAAAGGGAGTGGGGGAGGCGGGCAGAACGGGGAGCGACAGACACAGCGCAAGGCACAGGTGGGGACTGAGACCAGGGGAGGCACAGGAAGTAAGGGCAGGGGGCAGGGAGCAACTCAGTTTTTGTGTTCTGAGAACCTGTGGGACAAATGGGCACACATTTTGGAGTCCAGAGCACAGGCATGTAGGAAAATGCCAGCATTCATTCATTCACTCATTCACTAATTCATTGTCCCATGAGGAACCACTCAGTTTAGATAAGTTCTGGTGCCTGGCCTCAGATCGGTGACCCTGAAAGTCGGCAAACGCCCACTCCCGAGCGGCACCTCAGACCTAAGGAATCCGACTCTCCTGGGCTCACCCTGGGTGTTCCCAACTTCCAAAAGTTCCTCAGATGATTTCTGGGAGAGGCCAGGTTCGGGGATGTCCCCATCCACACAGATTCTGTGGGCAAATGAAGGTGGGCACCAAGGATGAGTGAGTCAGAGACAAGAGGAAACGGGGCTCTGGGTGGTTGTTGATTTGGAGGAGGAAGAGTCTGAAATCATCCTTGGGGGGAAACACTCAGTCCAGAGGTGCTCATCATCTCCCATGCAGATTTTGGGTATAACCGTGTCTGTGGATGTCACCAAAGCAATCGCCACAGTAGAACAGATAAGAACGAGAGAGCCCACGGTTACTGTGATTCACCGTGGTGTGTGCTAAGCACTTCCAAGCACTATCTCATTGAATCCTTGCAATGCGCTGAGTGGGGTATGTTCACCTCAGTTTGCTGAGAAGGAAGCCAAGGCTCAGAGATGTTAGTCACGTATCTTGAGAAGGTTACACAGCCAGTACATGGAAGAACGAGGCCTGGGACAGCTGAGTCTGGCCACACCCAAAGCCTGAGCTCTTGGTCCCTGCCTCTCCCAAAGTACAAGAGAGGCGGTGCCGGGTAGTGGGAGGAAAGTGAAGCCCCCTGTGTAAGGCACTGGCTCACAAGGGGAGTGCTCAATGCACAGGGACCGGGTCAGGATGGGGAGGGGAGAGAAATGGTGGGAAATGCATGAGAGAGAGAGCCAGAGACAGAGAGATATATAGAGAGATACAGAGAAAGACACAGAGAGATAGAAAGAGAGAGAGAGAGAGACGGGGAGAGCAATGGAGACAGAGAAAGACAGAGAGACAGAAAGAGAGAGAGAGAGAGAGACAGAAAGAGACAGAAAAAGAGACAGAGACCGAGAGACAGAGACAGAGAGGAGAGACAGACACAAAGAGAGATAGAGAAAGAGACAGACAGAGACAGAGAGACAGAGAGAGGCAGAGACAGAGAGAGAGTGAGGGGAGAGACAGAGAATGTGGACAGAGAGAGATACAGAGAGTGAGGGGGCCAGAGGGGGGGCAGGGAGGGAGCTGGAGGACAGGGTGTCAGTACTTGTTCTCAGTCTTTGGAAGCACACCAGGAAACCCAGCAAGAATTTACAACTACAACAACAAGCTATTTGAGCTTTTTTTTTTTTTTTTCTCTTTTTTACAGATGCTGTTAAAAAAAAAAAAATCATCACCAACCCTCCAGGGGAATTTGAGGTAAGTTATCCAAAAAGCTGTAATTTTGCAGAGCAGTTAATAACTCATCGTCCACACATTTCTTCAGGTCTTTACTCACGCACCCAGCGTGTTTACTCATCCCGTCCTTACTACTTCCATGCCAGGCAGAGTGGTGGAGGCAGGATCAGACGGTGAACAGGACCCATTGTGGTCCGGGCTGGTGGAGACAGTGAGGGGGCGATTCTAAGCAGTAAGCTCTAAGAAGGGAGCATACCAGGTGTTCGGAGGGTTAATGGACACTGTGGAATGAGTCCAGGGAGGGTGTCAGGACAGACCTCAGAGAGTGTGCCTTTGTGGGCCTGGTGCTGCTGGTGGTGGAAGGCTCTGTGCAGAGGAATTACCCACAAAAGAGAAGGAGCACAGCCCCTATGAGGAACCGGAACGCCCCTCATCTGTGCTTTCTGCCACCTGCACCAGCTCTGGGACGGGAGCCAGGCAGAGGCACAGAGACAAACTTGTCCAGGTCCCAGAGACTGGATGACAGCAGATTGGGGCCTGGGACTATTGTCCAGGTCACTAGACACTTGGGGGCCAGGGATTTTTTTGGGGGGATGACTTCCTGTCTCCCCCTGCCTGGGCTTGGACTATTTCCTAAAGATATATGCTGGGGTCTCCGAGACAGAGGGTGGGAGTTCTGGTCCAATCACACTGCGCTTGTTGGAGGAAGCTACATGGGGCTGGTGGATCCAGGATGACACAGCATGACAGGACCCAGATGGGGTGTCTGCCTTTCTCAGCTGGTACCCCTCTGTCTGAACTCCAAGCCATTGGAAGCTTGCAGGGTCTGGTGCAGCTGGTGCAGCTCTTGTGAATTATTGACCAAATGCTTCGAAAGTCCTTGTGAGCAATGCTGGAGACAGTTGTAAAATCAAGATGACAATAAAGGAGATTTAGAGACCCTGGGCTGACTGGTTATAGTGAGATTGCCAGAGTCTCAAGCAATGGTCATGGATTTATTCACTCAACAAACTTTTTGTTCAGTGCCTACTATGTGCCTGGATTGTCTTAGAAGCTGGAGATACTGAGATGAACCTGACATCATTCCTGTCCTCATGGAGGAACATGGAGAGCCTTACCTTCCCATTGAGTAGGTGGTAGGTGAGTAATAGACAGTGGGAGAATGGCAGAGGTGGGACTAAAACTCATGCTTCCCACTGCCAGGCAAGAGCATGTCTCAGGGCTTCATGTTTAGAAAAGAGAGAATGTCCTTCACCCAGAATATGAAGCCTGGGTGGCTCAGTCAGAGTCCTGGGATCGAGCCCCGTGTCAGGCTCCCTGCTCATGGAGAACCTTTTTCTCTCTCTCCCTCTGCCCTCCTCTTTCCTCCAGCTCGTGTTCTTTATCTCAAATAAATAAATAAAATCTTAAAAAAAAATCTTAAAAAAAAGAATATGTGGAGCAACTAGTGAGGGTCAGAAAAATGATAGCCAGGTAGAGGGAGGACCCAGAGGTGCTTGGGGATAATTATCCATATTTTTGTTATGACACCTTTTATTTTAGCTTTACAGAAGAACTGTTAATCTAATACAGAGAGTTCCCATATACTGCACATCCAGTTTCCTTTATTATTAGCATCTTACATTAGCATGACTCTTTTGTCTCCGTTCATGGGCCACTCTTGATACATTATTCCTAACTAAATCTGTATTTTGTTTAGACTTCTTCATTTTTGACCTAATGTCCTTTTTCTGTTCTGAGGATCCCACCCAGGATACCTCTTTACACGTAGCCATCATGTCTCCTGAGGCTCCTCTTGGCTGGGACAGTTCCTCAGACTTTGTTTTTGATAACCCTGATAGTTTTGAGGAATACTGATCCAGTATTTTGTTCCATGTACTTTTTAAATGAATATGTTTTTATTTCCCTATATCAGACCCATGCTAGGTGATAAGGACAGAGCAATAAATCATGTATGAGGGATTCCGGCTCTGTTGGAGTTTAATGGTGAATAATAGCATCATTGCAGGGGACAGACAGGAGTCTGTGGAGGCCCACAGCTGTCTTCTGGTGCGCACCATGGAGTGACCATGGGCAGGCTGATGTACTGGCTGAAGTCACAGGTTCATCTCTGGGTCTATTAGGCTTTCAATGTCCGGCATTGACTCCTGCTTTCAAAGCTACCCCAGGACTTATTTTCTTGTCTGAGTAACTGCAAACCTGGCCATATGAGAGAGACAATATTTGTGTTTAGTGGATATCTTGGCCTATGTCATTTCGTACTTTATCATTTAGCCATGTGACACCTGTCTTGCCTACTCAAGGCTGCCTCCTG